AGAAGCTTTTTTTTGTGGTCTTCCTAATCTCCTATGTCCTGACATTGTTCTGGAACCTGGCCATCATTGTGGTCTCGCAGCTGGACCCGTGTCTCCACACACCCATGTACTTCTTCCTCAGCAACCTCTCTCTCCTCGACCTGTGCTACACCACCGCCACGGTGCCTCAGATGCTGGTGAATTTACAAAGTTCCCATAAGACCATCTCTTGGGCTGGCTGCATGGCCCAGCTCTTCATTTTCCTTGGCCTGGGTTCCACTGAGTGTGTCCTGCTGGCAGCCATGGCCTATGACCGCTATGCTGCCGTCTGCCACCCCTTGCACTACACGGCCATCATGAGCCGCAGCCTCTGCTGGCTGATGGCAATTGCATCCTGGTTTAGCGGAATGACTGCCTCCTTTGTGCAAACATGCTTGACCCTGCGACTACCCTTGTGTGGGCACAATCGTATCAATGACTTCTTCTGTGAAGTGCCAGCCCTGCTCAGCCTGGCCTGTGCCGATACCTCCATTAATGAGGCTGGGCTCCTTGTTGGCTCTGCGGTCATCTTGCCAGTACCTCTGGGACTCATCCTGGTCTCCTATGGCTACATTGGTGCTGCAGTACTGAGTATTCGCTCAGCTGAGGGCAGGCGCAAGGCCTTCAACACCTGCGCCTCCCACTTAATTGTAGTGTCAATCTTCTTTGGCACAGCCATCTACGTCTACCTGCAGCCCCCCTCTCAGCACCCACAGCACCAGGGCAAGATAGTTTCCCTCTTCTATGGCATCATCACTCCAATGGTGAACCCCCTGATCTATACCCTGAGGAACAAGGATGTGCACAGGGCCCTTAGGAAAGCCTTAAGAAAGCAGTGCTGGATGCAGAGGACATAAGCCCCCAAAATGATGTGGAGCTGGCAGGCTTTGGGCATGTGCATGTGGGAGAGACCCACATGTGTATTTGGGACAGGGTTCTAAGCTGGCTAAAGGGGAGATAGGAGAGAGGGATACACAAAGGAGGTGTACTGGCACAGTCCTATTCCCCATTCCAACCACACAGTGGAAGCAGCAGCCGGGCACTTTAAGTCTCTGAATCACATACGAGTCCTCCTGTCCCTTCCCCTTCATGCACAGAGGCACTCCCCCTCCCCTTCCT